ACATGCTCTCCCCAAGAATTTCACACTGAAACTGAAATACGTGGAGTTAATGCCTATGTGTTATAGATGGAGTCAAACCAAAGTGTTTAGCATTGGACATCACTTGGGAGATGCAGAGTGGCTGTTTTCTGAAAACAAGGAAAGCTGGTTTTCAGAGAGAGAGAGAGAAAAGCAAGGAATGCCGACAAGAAATGAAGAATGATTCCTTCAGACCCTGGCAGACAACCTCCCGGGCTGGTCCCAGTTCTTCCAGAAACGTGGCTATGTCCTTGCTCTTGGGTTTCGCGAGGCCCTTCTGAATATTAACTATAATTTTTCACTTGAACAAACCTGGCCCATACCTGATCCTGGTGCTTAAAATCACCAACTCATAACTGAGCGCCCCTCACTCATGCCTGTTAGTAAACTGTTTTTTTAGATTCAGTTGCTATTGCCAGTTACAGCACTTCTCTATTTCATGTCCACTCGTTCATGATTATCTGTGCACGTGTGCGCACAGGAGAGAGGGAGAGAGAGAGAACTGACACAGAAAACTGACTTCATTCTAAAAGTTTTAGGCCTGGATCTCAGCAAGCCTGACCCAGAAATGCAGGCCCTCCATGTCTCACACTCATAATGTTCTCATGAGACAGAGGCATGGAATGGAATTCTGCCTTATTCGTGGAAAATTACATCTATAACTGCCAAAGGGCCAAGCTATTCTTATTTACTGACCAATATGTTTTCTTCTTCCAGGAAGGCCAGGCCCCTATGAGATGGACACATCTTTTCTTTGGCCTCATTTCAAAGTATAGCATGGAGTCCCAGCCACTCAGGAGGCTGAGGCGGGAGAATGGCCGGAACCCGGGAGGCGGAGCTTGCAGTGAGCCGAGATCCGGCCACTGCACTCCAGCCTTGGCGACAGAGCGAGACTCCGTCTCAAAATAAATAAATAAATAAATAAATAAACAAACAAACAAACAAACAAACAAACAAAGTATAGCATGGAAACCAGTCCATGGCCTTAAGGTGGCCCAACCCCGTGTGTATTGATTCAAAGGGTGATCTTAGATACCGGGAATCCTATTTTTGAATGTCTGAAACAAACGTATATCTTCCAGGGCTGCCCTTTTCTTGATTCTGGTTGCCTGGCAGCTTGACAACTTTAAAGGAGGGGCATCTATTACCTTGAGGTGAAGAAGATGAAGGCTGAGAACAAAAAAGGTGTTGCGTGGCTTTAAACTCCAGTATAGAGTTTAAGTCCATAGTAAGACAATAGCCTAAGCAAAAATATCATTAGCTGTAATATGTACAATAAGAAAAAAAATGCTGCCAAATAACTAGGACCTACTATCCACTGCAAGATACATCCTAATTTCAGAAATATTAAAATGTGGTTTTAAAAAATGTGGTAGGCTTTGTTGAGAGAGAAAAAAGGGTATTTTTTTGAAATCCCCAAACTGGGCTTGACATCTCAAGAGTCATGGAGGAAGACTGGACCCATAAACCCTAGAGTGAGCCAGGCTGGACTTGGACAGTGGAGACCTTTTGACCACACAGCCAGGAAGGCCCTTCCTGTAGAGCTAGAGGGAAGATCCGCAGAAGGAGAAAGAAGGAAGGCAAGAGCTCAGCTCTGATGGTCAACTCTGGAAGATGGAGTAGAAGCTGAGTCACCGGGCTGGCAGAGGAGCAGCCTGGAAATGGCAGTCCCCTTCCAGAAAGCAGTGCTCAGTGACACCTGGCTCCACGGCTGCAGGGGCTGCCTCTGGCAAAGTGGAGGAAGCTGACAAGAATTCCTAGGTGCCGAGGAGGGGAATAGAAGTTGCTAGAGAAACCAGAGGAACAGAAGAGGCCTGGAAAGAAACCAAGGGGTTGGCGGAGGCACATCTGCAGGCAACAGCAAAGTCCACGGTGGTCAGCACCGGGTGGCTGGATGTCCCAGACCCCTGGGTCAATAACATACAGGGCACAGCCTGCAGCAAGGACCCAAGGGCACAGCATGGCCATTGACCAAGCAGAATGAACCATCTCCCTGGGGCCAGCTCCATGATGACAGCCTAAGAGGCAAACCCTTCAGGACGCAGATTGACACTAGGGCCCGACAGGAGCAAGAGGAAGAGTCCCCAGGAAGCTGCTTACCAAGACCTGCTGAGATTTAAAGTGAATTGTGACAGACGTCATATGTTCCTATGTTCCGCTAAAAACCTGGATGTGGACCAAATGTGCCAGAGCTCATTTACTCTTGCATTTGATCATTAAACCAATTTTATTGTGTGCACACCATGTACCAGGCAGGGTTCCAGGTACTTGAGGTGTACCTGGGAACAAATCCGACAAATCCCTACCCACCTGCAGAGCGTGGAGGGATAATACATGGCAAACATAACAGCAAAGGGGATTGTGTAGTGTGTGCAAAGGTGAATTGAAGAAAACAAGCTTCTGCTTCAGGAAACCTGAATTGAGAGCAAATTCGTGTTTAGTTATACAATACATGTTTCCTATCTAAGCCCCACATTTTATGCTGGAGTTGCCTGCGTCTGTGTGACACTGAAGGACAGAAAAATGAACGCAACACAGGCCCTGTGCCTAAGGAATTGACAGTTCACCAGTGAGTTTACACAGTGAGCTTCATGGAGGCAGGAATTCCGCCTTTCCTACATGTCACAAATGTTTACTAAGCACCTAGTAAAATACATGCCAGGTACTTGGCAGATGCACACAATGCACACATGACACACATTCATGCAACCCACACCCACATAGCACATGAAACACACACAAAACACACACAACAGACACGTACATTCACACCATACATACAACACTCATATACAACATATGATATACACTGACTCAACACACATGAAAACCCACACATACATTCATAAAACTACACATGAACACCCACACACTCAAACACGTACACTTACACAACGCACACATCAAAGGTTTCATGCTAAAGACTTTTCACTTTTTTCACTTTAAAGACCACTGAGGGCTGTAGGTCGATCTGGCCAAAGAAGCACTGAAAGTTAATTATACTGAGGCAGTAAATGAAAGCTTTGATGCCTCAGGGGGAGGTTTGCAGACTGAGCCATTTCAGGAGATCACCACTTGTCCACCTGAGTTCCCAAAGGGGCCATGACAGAGTTCTGAGAGGGGACTAATGACCACAAGAATGATTTACAGAAACTAGAGTGGTGGCTGCCAAGGAGGGAAGGGGGAAATGGTATCAAAAGGTATACATTTTTCATCATGAGATGAATAACTTCTGAGGGCCTAATGGACAACGTGGTGACTATAGTGAGTAATACTGTATTGTACACTTGAAGTTTGCTAAGAGAGTTGATTTTAGCTGTTCTCACCATGCACACACAAAACAGGCAACTATGTAAGGTGATGAATGTGTTAGCCTGATTGTGGTGATCATTCCATAATGTATACATACAACAACTCCTCATGTTGTATACCTTAAATATACACAATTATTGTTGGTCAATTGTACCTCAATAAAGCTGAAAACTAAGATAATAAAAGAAAATCTACCTATGGAACCACAGCTAACAGTCTGGGGTTCTTATGTAACTTTTGTTTAAGACTCTTCAAACTATGTCCCTGTTAGGCTGAGAAAGCCACTGAGCCCCAAGTGGATCAGGGATCCTTCCCAAGCCATGGTGTTTAATGAGTGCAACAATTGCATTCTGAAATTGCATCATTGGCATCACAGTTCCAGAACTTAATCTCATGTAGTTAAGTTTAAAACAATAACCTACTGACTATACAACATTTCTTTTCTAATTTTCAGCAGACCAAAGGAAATACAATTTGGTTTCCATAGCAAATATTCCAACTTCATGAGGAAGCACAAAGTGTTTTGAGAAGAAATGCCCTCCATGGACAAAGGAATATTTCTGAAGTGCAATAAAGAACTTACAGTATCACTAGATATGCTTGAATTATCGAAGAGAAGTTACCACCCAACATCAGCATGAAGTTACAGTGTTTACCACCATTACCCTCCCATAAATGTTTTCATTGCTCTACACAGCAGATATAACCTCAGATATGCTTATTTTGAGTAATCTAAAATAAATGTGAGATGGATAAAAACCAACTATTTTTCCTTTTCTATACCTGCACTCCACACACTTCTGTGACCAGGGATTGAAGGGATGTCAACGAATACTCTGCCACCAGCTGAATGACACCAGCTGAGTGTCCTAAAATTCAATTCAATTCTGATACTAACCAGAGTTAGCACAGACCTCAGGTTGAGGGTTCAGTCCCCCAAGACTGCCCCCTATTTCAGACACCAAATACAAGTGCCAGGTTGTCACCTATATGTCTGACTGACTGGCTGTAAACCAGGATTCCTACAATGCCCTCCTTGGGTTTGATAATTTGCTGGGATGGCTCACAGACCTCAGGGAAACACATTTCCCAGCTTATTATGTGCTAAAGAATATGATCAAGGATACAGAAGACAGCCAGATGAAAAGATACGCAGGGTGGGGTGTATGGGGGAGGATGTGCGCTTCCTTGCCCTCTCCGGTGGGCTACCCTTCACATGTTCAGCAGCCCTGGAGCTCCCCAAACCCCAGAGTCCAAGGATTCTTACAAGACTTTGTTACTTGGGCATCACTGATCATTAACTCAATCTCCAGCCTCCAGGCCTTCCCAGAGGATGGGGGTAGGACTGAAATTCCCAAGCTTCTAATCTGTTCTTTCTAGTAACCAGTCTCCACCCAGGAGCCTCATTAGAACAAAAGATGCCTATCACCCAGGAAATTCCAAGAAGTTAGGAGCTCTGTGCTGGGAACCAGGGCCAGAAATCAAATATATATTTTGATTATGTCTCTCTATATATTTTATATATATGTATATTTCCTATATATTTTTCCTATATATATATATTTAGAAAAATTATATATTTTTTTTCATATTCCTTTACAAACGTATTCTTCACCATGCCAGAGGACTGATTTTGACGGAAAACTCCCAGGAAGTCACAGTTTTGGTACTCTTCCAAGGTCCTAATAAACGAAGGTAACTATGGAAACTCAAGCACTCGGAACACTGGGCAATGTAAACGCTCTCTGCTCGGCAGGGTTCCCTCACACGCAAACACCATTTCTGAGAAATCCTTAGTACACCTCCCCGAGGGGACCGCACAGACTCAGACCACATCTAAACAAGCCACAGCCTTGCTCCAGTTCTCTTTGGAGTGGGTGAGATTCACTAGAATAAATAAATATGCAGGGAACAGGCCAGAAGAAAGTTAGGATGGATATTCAGAAATAGCTCTTTGTGTACAGAAATAACTGAAGGGAAATGTTGGCAGCTATTTAAGGGTCCAAGAAGTTGGAAGACACTAAACAATAATATTTGCATCCATTTTATTTTGTAATGTCAACAGGACATGTCCACGCCTGCAGAGGCCACAAACAGCACCAAATCACTGACAGGAGAGGCCCACGGTGACCCCCCGCCCCTCTCTTTCCAGCTGTTTCATCAGCTTCTCTTCCCTCATCCGTTCATGGGGATGACAATGTCCACCTTGGGGGAAGCACAAGCATATGGATGAATACAGACCGAGTCCTTGTTGTGGTTGTTGGCACTCAGGGCTTTGTGGTGTTGTTTGGTCAAGCCAAAAACAGAGAGGCACCATGATTGCAGGCGTACCATTAAGTACAGTAAGAATGTCTTCCTAATCCAAAATTGGACATGCGGTTTGATGAGAAAAGGGATAAACTTGAGATGGTGTTACCCAATATTTAAAACCAAGACGTCAATATTTTATTTTCTTACTTAGTCATGTGTCTCAGATTCATGTCATTAAGCATTACCTTTTATTATAAAAGTCATTTTTTCCTTCCCCACTTATCATGAGAGTCTTTCAAACTCAGCCAAACACGTCACAATGGAATTATGAATGAACATGAGAACAGTAAGAAGTGGAACTGAGAAATTAGAGACATGCAAATTTTATCTAGGAAAATGTTACCAGGTCATAAAGAAGACAGTAGGACAAGAGCAGAAAGTGCTAATGTAATTTCACCATTTCCCCCGCTAGAAGGAAAAGTGAACCCAAGAGGAAGGAGGTTTTCGGCACGGGAGGGTGACCTTTCTGCTGCTGCTGTTGTTTTGTTGTTATGGTTGTTTGTATCCTCTAATGTTGCTAACACAGTAAAAACCACCCAATTTAAAATCAGACTTGGAAAAAGTGATCTCAACTTTGCGAAAGTTGACCTCCCTCTACTCTTCTTTTTGGCTAATCACTAACAGCACTTATGAACTTTATTACAAATAAAATTATCAGAATACATGCAAGAGCAATTAGATGTAATAAAATTAATCCAGAAATGCTATTTGTAGAAGAGTCAGCCATTTATGCCAAAATCTGGCTTCCCTTAAATTTTATCTTCGTATTTTGAAAAGGAAAAGCAAAAGCAGTTACCATATTTACTTGAGAGTCAACACAGCCAAAAATTTTTAATGCCATGCTAAGCAATCCAGTCTCCGAACATCAACACTTCTTTCTATCTCCAGGGTTCACTGTTATTACTTGCCAAGATTATGTGGGGGAACAAGAAAAGCTCTTAAACTTTTTTCTCAGCATGGTGGTTGAAGAGAGACAAAGAAAGTGTTGGAAGCTAGAGAAACGGAGAGATGTCGAAGGCAGCAATGCATTGGGGGACGTCTGAACCATCCCAACCCAGGGCAACTCACCCACCTCGTCAATGCAAAGTTGAGGATACTGCAACTATGCAACCTACATGGGCCACACAGTGAGACAAAAACACAATTTCCTTCTAAATAATCCAGATTCACCATATAAATACTCCTGAGCAAGCTCCTACTTGCTGTTTGCTGTAAGCTTGGATGTCAAAACCTGCCATGCAGGACTCCACTCTCTCCCAAACAAAGCCCAGACCACTCAGTCTAGCATTCCAGATGCTCCTCAATCTCCCTTGATCCTACCTTTTGGAACATGTCCCTCTCCTTGCCCTTGATGGGCCTATGTTTACTATGTACCAGTTTCCTTGCAAGTTTCCCTCATCTCTACCTCTTTTCTTGCTCATGCAGTTTCCTCTGCCCAGAATACAATCCTTCTTTCTCCTCCAGCTCAAGTCCTCTTCTTCCTCCTTCTTCCCCTCCAACACCTATCCTAAATACTGCACCACTTCTTTAGGGTTTTCCCACCCCTCCAATGAAGAGAAACAGGCAACTATCTCTCCCTGCTCTGAAACCTTGAGGTTTTTCATCTCTCCGTCTCCGATGGCACTCTGCAGCCCCTACTCTGTATTGCTTGAGTTCTCTCCCCTGCTGCACGGTTAATATGCTTAAAAGTAGGCTGAGATTGAGTACAGCTTGAACAGAGAAGATGTTTAAATATTTGCCAAATAAATGAAAGTGGCTACGTTTATACAACTTATATCTACAGTGCCTTAAAAAATTGAAAGCACACTTACTAGGTGGAGAGCCCTTGATAACTTCCAGTACAAAGTTTTCTGGGGAAATAGTCCTAAATTCCCCCACCAGGTCAGATTTGGCAATCACTATGGACAGGTTTGGTCTAACCAGCTTCTTGTTTACTTGGGTAATGTACTGATTCGGTGACTGTCTACTTCTCGGGTCAGTGGTTCTCAATCCACATTATACTAACTGCACAGTATGATTACCTAAGGAGTTTAAAAAGCCAGGCTGCATGCAGTCCCATCACATTAGAACCTCTGGGGTTAGGATCCAGGCACCAGTGTTTAAAACGCTCCAGGCACCAGTGTTTAAAAGGCTCCCAGGTGATTACAATATGCAGCCGAGGTTGACAACTACTGGCCTAGATGACAAAGAGTAATTCCACACAGCAGACATTTCCCCTATTTGTATGTCACTGAGGCAGCAGCAATGTCCACTTTCAACACTGATGTGGCGGACTGGGGCCCAGCCAAGAAAGAGAGTTCAACTCTAGAGGCTTATGTTCACACACACTAGGTTTCCCTAGAACAATAGTTTACAATCTGGACATCAGTTCCAGACTAAAGTCAATGTCTGCCTCTACCTCCAATCCAAAGCATTTTTTACCTTCCTATGAGCCTAGGTTCTATATATATACACACACACACACACACACATAAATTTTATATATATATACACACACACACATATATATATATTAGACATATACACATATATATTATACATATATAAATATATATATCACATTTCCTTACCAACTTAAAATAAATTTCAGCTGGAGAAAAAAAGAAGCTTAGAGTTCTGATCTTGCAGTTACATAAATCCCAGAGTTTGAGGTTGATGATAAAGATTCAAGCACAGTGAGTGATACCGAGTGTAATTTCCCACATTATCAAAATAGCAAAAATGTAACGCCCCCCTTCTCCCTGTGAGTCAGTCCAGAAACCCACTGTGTTAATCTTGAGAAATGCTTAAACCTTGAGGGAAACTTATTCAAAGAGGTTGTCATGGCAGGTTCACATGAGACTTTTTAAATCAAGTAAGTTCCAGTACACATTTCCTTCACTGTTGACAATCATCACATATTTTCCCTCCAGGAAAGAACCCCTGTGAAGTGAACCTCGCGTGTGGTTTTACAGATTCTTTAGCAGACAGCTGACACTATTTGTGAAACCAAGTTTCCCCATGGACTCCACGCGGTGTGTTTAACCATTCCAGAGAAACACCTACAAAGTCCCTACTTTATTTGAAGTTGTACTTTATTGTGATATGCATTTCATTTGTATTAATTTGGGCTTCAATCTTATATACTGATCATTTCAGTAATCCTATCTCTTTTAAAAACTAGTTTATGGGTACCATGCACCAATTTGGATAACTCATAGAAGTGGCAGAAGAGAGCGTGAATGGCATGCTCGATATGAATGGACTCAAAAGCCAGTGCCCGAACAAATATGACTGCTTGAAGGACATCTGAGAAAGAGCTCTTCCATAAACTGGTGTTTCCCTTCCTCATGTTCCTTACTATTTCAGCATAATGATGTGTACAGAGCTGAGAGAGTCCAACAGACCCATGTTCAAATTCTGACTCTTGTTTTTGATCTGCCGCAACCTGAAGAAACTCACCTGCTATTTTTAAGCCTCAGTTTCCTTAGAGACAAATCAAAATCATAAAGCCTGCGTAAGGAACACAGACAATGTGTAAAGCTCCCAGTCATCGTGGGGAGGAGACGGATGGCTGCTGATCCTGGCTGGTTCTAGAATAGCAGATGAGGTGGGTACCCGGGCTCCAGGACGAAGAGGCTGAGCGTCATTGGTGCAGCCTCCAAGATTGGCTACTAATCAGCCTAGAGCAGGGCAAGTGAGACTAAGGAGACAGCAAATAAAATCGCAGGCAATGAAAAGTCTAGAAAAATTGTTCCAGGATTTCCAGTCAAGTTCTACCCTCTCACTAACTCCAGGAATAGAATGAGGGAAGCCACATCAATATTCAGGGGGCATAATTGTGGCTTTGGAATGTTTTGGTTTTGTGGCCCATGTTGGAATATGTTATTGGTGTACATGACCAAATGGCTCTGGTCACCAAAAGCAACACCGCCTCCCTCAGACAAGAAGAGACTCATGGTTAAGACGTTCAGCATTTTTGGAGAAAAGATGGGTAACTTATAAGCACATTCACTGCTAATAATTTCTCCCCAAAGGATAAAAGAAGGCAAACTTCCACAAAAGACATAAATGTGCTTTGAGCCTATTCTATAGCAATGGCTCATTCCCTTGTTCATTGATTCAGGAAACAGACCTGAAACTTAGTAAAATCCTTAGTCATACCATTGTCACCGGCTGCTTGAACACAGTGTCTTAGCCTGGGCTGCTGTAACAAATGATCACAGATTGGATAACTTAAGCAACAAATATTTGTGTCTTACAGTTCTGGACACTGGAAGTGTAAGATCAAGGTTCTGACAGATCCAGTGTCTGGTGAGGGCCCACTTTCTGGTTTGCAGACAGCTGACTTCTCATTGTATCCACACATGGTAGAAATAGAGCTAGCTAGTTCTCTGACCTCTTCTTATAGGGGCACTAATCCCATTTATGAGGGCTCCACCCTCATGACCTAATCATCTCCCAAGCATCCCACCTCCTAACTCCATCACTGGGATTAGGGTTTCGACATAGGAATTTAGTGGTGGCTTGGGGGACACACAGATATTCAATCTATTGTACACAGATAAAGGAAAACCCAAAGCCTAAAAAGAAAATCTATTAATCTTAAAGTATTTATTTCCATTACAATTAACACAGACACATTTCAACTTTTATAAACTACATTTCTAGACTTTTCTATGGTAAACACACCTTTTGCTGCCTCTTTCACCTGGCATTAGCACTTGACAACCCCCATCCCATGTTGCATCTGATTGGGGCAATTCTGTCTGCGTTGAGTACCTGGAATTCACCAGAAGTCCCTTCTCAGAAGCAAGCCCTGCCCTCCTTTCCCTGGACTGGGAGGTGAAGCTCACTGAAGGGGGTGAGCTGACTTTGTAATCGTCCCACTTCCTGCCCAGATGTTCCTGTGTCCGTGGAAACCTGATCCATCAGTACCTCCTCAGGGCCAGCAGTTCCTGAGACCTCCCCCAAACACCTCCCACAACACACACACTCACACTTGCACACACACACACACACACACATTAATCCCCACCCTGTGCTGGCCACAAATGATGGTTTATGACAGTTTTGCTTCCAAAATGGGCCTGAGTGTCTTATCAACAATATTTTGTCTCAGTCTCCTATGTTTCTTCACACAATGGAAGCACCTCTGGGCTTAGAGTCACCAAGACCCTAAGACTGGTAGAGTACACACCCCTTCCCCAGAGCCGTGACAACACTACAGACTCATAAGCAAAGCAGCCTCATCATCATGGAACCGGGGTGGCCAGCATGAAAGACGATGCATAGTAGAGACACTCTCCTCAACGCCTTCCCCAGGTGGTTGGGCTTCAGGAATTTTGTTCTATTCTGAGCACAGAGAGCCATGGCCTCAGATTTCAGGGGTGGGAGGAAAAGTTCCAGTTCTCTTTGCCCACTCAGTGGTCCTGAGGAAAGCTCTTAGTTGGTCACCTCTAAAGTTAGAAAGATAACCCTACCTACACCTGGAGAAAAGGATGTCAGAGAAGCCCTACTTGCGGCTCTCTCCTGAGACCCCATCCCTGAAGGACTCCCTGGCACCAAGCAGGCCCTGGGGGCAGATTTACCCGTGCTCTGGTCCAGAACCTAGAGGTGGCTAGGTCCCTTCACCGTCCCCTTCCTGCGTTCCTTCTCATTGCTGACATTTGATTCTATCTCGCAAGTGGACTATAAGCTGCTCTGAATTTTCTTCATCTTTCTATTTCCCCTTCCATTCCTTCTTCCTCTCACCATCCCCAGCACTTAGCACAGGGCTTAGCACAGGTTGGACATGCAATAATAATCTGTCAAAATTATCAGTCAGTTTATTAATGCATGAGATAATGAATGAGAAAGCCCTTTATAAACTGAGTTTTATTTCAGAGAGACGTAGAATGTATTTTCGTAAACTGTCTCCACTTGTCTCACACGGAGGACAAGGCTGGCCAAGAGAAACAGTGTTCTGGTCGCCAGCCCTATATGCAATGTCAGCCCCATCGTGATCTCTTGTGGCAAATACAACACAGTCTGACAGATGCTTGTGTATAGAACCACACCTCCCTGGTGTCATTCAGGTGGGCATTTACATCTACAAGGTAAGAGTTTACAGACCTTGGCACCATCTTCCCAGCCCATGACTAAAGTC